AGCAATTTCGATGTGGACCACGAAATCGCTTGTTTGTCGTGAAATTTTCAGCGAATCTGAAATTTGGTTGTGATAAAACATTGGACTGGTGCGTAAATCATACTGCAGGCAGTATTCTGAATGAGGATTTATTCAGAAACTTGAGGATAACACTGCACTTTCTAGAGCATTGACAATGCTTTGTTCGAGCGTTACCGACCTCGATTCCGGAGTATAACAGAAATAACAACTTTAGTATTGCAATAGTAGATTGCAGTGATATTGTCGTTATATTGAATGACTGATTTTGATTTCTTGTTGGTGATTAGAGTGTAAAAATAAGAATTTTCAGTGTCGTTAGTTGAGCAGCAGGCTACTCACATCGAATCTCATACAACGCTGAAGGTCGCCAAAATGCATGGTCATTTGAATTCGGATATTTGGTCCGATAAAGGAAAATTCGATAAATTCATCGCTGAAAATCATGTTCGTTTTCTCATCCTATGGGTTGGAGTTGTCGATTTTACGCATTTCTGTGAGAGGTGAAATGCCACCGAAGTATTCTGATTTGCAATTGACGAATATTTCTTATATCCACAGTGAATAAGTATTGTTTGGATCTGTGGTTGATTTATTCACTTGCTGTGGACGTTCATTGTTGGTTTACCTGTAGTCGATATAGCTCTATCTGTTCTGGTTATCAGTAAAATGTTGGTGCGGTTCTTGTGTGGCTTTTATGCCGTACAGCGATCGATGTGATTCTCTTTGTTGCACCGAACAATTGATTTCTTATGAATGAATTTACTGCAGACAAAGTATGTGTTCTAATCGTGTTCAGGTGGTTGTTATGACGGCACAAGTCTTTTTGGATCTGCTGGATCATGCATTCTTCAAAATGGAGAAGGCAGCTCTGTTGATATTCGATGAATGTCATCATGCACTCGGCAGTAAACACAGTTATCGAGTTATCATGCAGCGATACTCGCAGCTACCGAAAAGTTTGTTTCTCCGTTCGTTTTGTTTCATTAATCTTACCTAGCGAATCTTCAATTCCCACTTGATAAAGATCGACGGAAAATACGCTGATTTCGGGTAAAATGAAAACACACTTGATATTTGACAATCTTTTGGTGACGAAAATAATAAGGACCGTGAAGATATTTTTTGAACCGTATTTTTTGTGTTTTCAACACCATTTTTCGACGATCACTGTGTTTTATGAATTCATTTGTTTCGAGAAATATATATCCTCTGAACTTGAGGATATGATTGAAGTGAATTGAAATGGAGAGATGTTTATTTGTTTTCTTTTTTTGTCTATTATTTTTGTTGCAGATGAACAACCAAAAGTGTTGGGATTAACCGCGTCTTTGATAAACAGCAAAACACCACCGAGTAAACTGGAGCAGTTGCTCGAGAGACTCGAACTCACCATGAACTGTAGCATAGAAACGGCTAGCGATCTCGTTTCGGTACGTCATTTCCGTCGCTTCAAATGCATCTTTCTTCCTTTCTTCTCATTATCTTATGGCGCTTCATTATAGATTTTATCGTACTATTGGTGAGTCGCCAGCGAATGTGATGTTTTCGTGTGTCATTCATTAATTCTAGGTGGCGAAGTATGGTGCAAAACCACGAGAATTCGTGTTGGAATGTGAGAATTTTGTTTACGATCAGAGTGAGGCGAACAAGAAAGTTTTATCAATATTGGTGAGTCGTTGATTTCGATTCATTCCGAGGTCTATT